GGAACGTTGGAAGCACTGTCTGACGCGTCTGCCTCCGCGACCCGAAAGGAGAGGCGGCGATGGAAGATGATGATGATGATGATGATGATAGAAATTTAACAAGTAAACTACAGTTCAAAGGGAAGTAAAAACGGCGAAAGGGTTACAACGAAGGGCAAATTCAGTCATTGGAAGGAACATACCAATACTAGCCTCACATGGCCCTATTCGAATGATCCCATTTCGACTTTCTGTGATCAAGTTCGCCACCCTGCTAATTTTTCGTGACTGTGCCTGTGATCCTTAGCATAGAACTGTCATACCTTAGTGAACACTAAATTAGTTTTGAATCGTTTTTGTTTCAAACACGCAGGAGGAAGCATTACACGTTAGCCACGTCATGATGGCAAATGACTGTTTTTTTGGAGAAGACAATGTAGAGCTTAACAAAATAAACTTCATGCAGACCACCACAAACGTTACGATGGGAAAGTGACCAGCTAACCTGCTTATACTGCCACCTAATAGTTGCTGTAGAAATAGTTGCCAAATGCACCGACTGAAAAGTTAAATCCGCATGAAAATTCAACACTTGATAACCACTGATGACACTACAGTGATCCAAACGGCATAAACGACAACTGCAACAATTAAAACGAGCGCAGCAACGTTATCTGCAGTCGACCGAACAGTTACAGCAATAGCTTAAACCATCCATTACTTTCAGAAGATGACGAGGCTACTCCACCGCCGCTGCCCCCTCCACTGGTATTGTTATTATTGCGAACCAACTCGCTCTCGCTCTCGTTCAGATGTTCTTCTTCCAGGTCATCAGAATCCGAAACTTCCGACTCGTCTTCAGCATCCTGCTGATCGGCATCAGCATCGGCTCCGTCAACGTATTCACCATCGGCATCGATTACCTCACCGCTCTGGCTAGCGGAAGCAACGCTATCGTTATCCGAATAGTAAAGAGTGACTTGTCCAGAATCTTCATGGCCAGGTGACTGACTGGACTGGTTAACGGCTGTGTTCTAGAAATACCGCAGTCAAACCCAGACCGACATAAAACAGTATGAAAGCATTACTTTGCTACCGGCTTCCATTTCGGTGTCGCTGTCAGACTCGCTGGTAGCGTCAGGGTCACTGAGGTTCACTAAAACAGAAAGCGTTCCATAAAATCGCATTCAATGAACTGTGAAGTAAACGTTTACTCCGAGACAAATTTGTTTTTACATAACATGAAAAGTTGTGGTTAGAAGGAACTTGTTGTTGTTTACATAAATTGAAAAGTTGTGGTTAGAAGAAACTAAACGTCACATGGCTGGCAGTGCAATTTCACATTACTGAACAACGCTACCCTTCCATAAATTCTCGCCGACGAATAAATTCGCTGTAATCGTGTATTAACTTGATAAACACATAGCGGAGGGTCTCTGATTCTCAAACGTAATCTACATCATCTTCATAACCAAAATTCAGTGAAAACGTAGAGGATCTTATTCAGTTCGTGACCCAAGCCAGTAACCGGTAGAGGTAAAGCTTCGTTATCAAAATGGAGAAGGTGGAGCAGTTACGTTCAATTTGACTAACCTCATGCGGATCACCTTTGCACTGCACGATGGTCAGTCGCTGCGCACTCAGTGAAACCCTTCAGAGAAACTGAATGACAGTAAACTTTCTCGTAACCTCACCTTCGTCATATATTATTCGTCGTTCTTCCTGAGAAAGGCTAACCATCTCATCGGCAAAATTCGAGATGACCGCCGATGAAGCTGTCTCATTTTTTGATGCCGACGCAATCAAAGGATCGGCCAGGAGGAGTTTTTCGATCGACTAAAACAGAACCCCAGCGGCAAAGTAGACATAACGCGGAGAGCGACATGTTGTTATACCTCAATCGCTTCATTGAATGAGGACATCGGCATAAACTGTTGCGTGCACTTCAACACTCCAAGACGAACTGGCGCCATCACTGCGTCTGCAGCCGATGCCAGTTCTTCCACGGCATAGGTCAGAAGCGCTTGAAATATGCGACGACACTTCAGCACCGGTTGACTAACGCTACAAATTCCGAAGATACATTTGTGAACACAAGCACCAGCCGCAAGACACCTTTTCTTCCTACCGTAGCCAGGCGACAAAGCAATACTCAGAAGAGCGTAAATACGAACCACAGAACGCACGCATCTTTGCACTACAAGCCGATCTTCAGCGCTGAATTCTGGCAACTGTATCTGCTTAATCATGGTAGTGAGGAAAATTTCGAGCTGCTGAAAAACATCCAAAGAGCAGGTCAAGCGCATACCAAAAAGGGCAAACACGTAGTGCTCCTACCTCTGAAGGACACTTCACCAACAAACAGTATATGAATCTGTCCAAAAACGTTACGCCGTTCTGCGACAGCAAATAGAACATATCTTCACTTAGTGGGGTCGATCTATAAATAAAGAATGCATTTGGTTACAAAGAGTTTCGATAGCCGGTTGTCATGGTCTCAGAAAGAAAACACAGAAAATTGCGTCGTGATTACATCGACAAATCTGCTGCCCAAATTATCACTCATACTTGCATATAGGATTGGTGTGCCTCCAACATACTCATGGTTCATGTGGTAGTTCACGAGAAACGTACAGCAGTGATCAGTGAAATTAAAATTCGGCGGTGGCATACGTGGCTTTTATGGAATATCAGAAACGGCTAAGGCAAGGAGAATATCATAATCGGCGGATCTAGGAAAGTTCACCGACTGCAGTTCACCGACAGAAAGTGCACCGACAACGGTTCACCGACCTGCATCGCTGATCGTTGATGATTTATTCATAAAAACCATGAAACGTGGAAAACTTAATTTATTCCATATAAAGTACTGTCACCCTGAAATGCCCTGATTTTGAATTAATTTGCCTGAAAATGACAATGAAGTAGGAACCTGTAAATGTCGAATAAAACAGATTTCACTGAAATCATTTAATTGAAAAAAATCTTCTAAAACATTATTTACACGCATACAAATATGTTACTGCAATACCTAATTAGTAATTTATATTATGTGCCACACCTCTGAGAAACTCTAAAACATTATTTCTGTCATAATTCGCAGCCACTCTGAAAAGTCTCAGCGCAATCCCTGTATTTCTTATGCGCAGGGCTACCTTAGTGGCCACTCACATATTGCTCAATTTGCAATGTTCTGATGCTCCGCTCATGCTGAATCGAGTTAATAAACTTCCAGATATTAGGGTGTTGCGCAGATATCTGCATTTCGAATCCACCCTTCAATTGAACTGTTTGTCTTCGGAAGACGGCGTCTTCATGGCAGTTCCACATTTCTAGGGAGGAGTGAGGTATTCGGCGTCTCCTGTGTCGTTGAGGATGTCCAATTCAGCAGTCCTCAAAGTAATCAATCACGCTTTGTGCTTCTTCAGGCATGTTGTCACCGCCGCTAAGAGCCTCAAGTGCTTCTACCACATCTTCTGTTAGGACAAAGGTCAAAGCAGACAACAATCGCATTTTTGTTGCAAATTCTGTCAATTTCGTACCTTCTTTGAAGATTTTCTGCCTCAATCCTTCGGAATATACATTGCGAAAAATGGAAGAAACATCCTCGATGTTTGGCAATTGGAAATTCTTGACGAACAGCACTATGGCGGGTTCGAAATCGGTCATAATTGTTTCTGGAGAGGCATTAGGTTGAAGCTGTTTTACTTGTTGCAATAACCGAACATATGTGGCCTTTGTCTTGTCCGGTGGTAGAGCATAAAAAAGCGGAACTGAACTGTTCGCTTGAATACCACGAAGTACGTAGAGTTGGATAAACAAATGAGGCAATGTCTTAAAAGCTCTGTCCGCAAACCAATGTTCAGATAAGGCGAATAACCGGAGATTTCTTGCGGTGGAAAATATAAAAATTTTATTTTCCGTCGGTTCTGAATCAAACAACAAGAACAGTTCAATTTCTTTAAATATCGTGTACTCCTCGGGAAATACAAATTTCTGTCGCGTCATACGCAAAACTGGTGCTGCTTTTTTCCTTATTCTGATGTTTCGGATCGTTCTTTCGATACTGCCGGTCTTCGCAATATGTCCTGCAGCAGCTTGGCTAAGTTCCATAAACGCATTACATATAATATACCGTGGTGCTTCTTGGCTATTTATTGCATGATCAACATCTTCCATCTTCAAAACTTCTGCATTAGCTGTATCCCCAATGTGGTTGTGAACTCCCTTCGCTGCCTCAATAGCAACTCTAACTGTTATTACACGAACCCGGCATTTGTGCTTCTGATACATTTCACACTTGCAATGTCTTCTCAGCTTGTTTTTTCTTTGAAAAGTAAGTGACCGTCCACTAAAAGTCTGTCTTCCCTTTTCACTCGTGAAGAACTGAAGGGCCATGACGGTTAATGAAGAAACGTAACTGAAGTATCACACTCGAAGAACTTTTTGAAACTGACCTCTATGAATTTTCTGAGGTATTATATAGCGATGAAGCCTAGTAATTATTGAGCTCATTAACTAATCTTTCAAATATACTTTTTTAAATAAGTTCATGAGATAAAATTTTTGTGTGAGTAGATAATGTAATGGTAATTATTCAGCTCATTAACATAATCTTTCAAATATGTTATTTCTAAATAATACTGTTTTATGGTCATCATAAATAAATCATCGGCGATCAATTGTAAAATCGGTGAATTTTCCTTTTGACAAATTGCAGGTCGGTGAATCTACCGGTCGATGACTTTTACAGTCGGTGAATTTTTGTCGGTGGACTTTCCGGATACCATAATCGGATATGTTCATCTGTCATTACCCGTTTGCAGACGATCTCATTTTGCCCTCAAACGTGCATCTGATAGGTTCGTTGTCATTTGTCATATGTGCCAATGCCAGGCTGAAAATTACCCTAACAAAAGCCGAATGAGAAAAGCCACTCAGTGTCTGTGTACGATATCACAGGGCAAGTGACGACGGTAGGAAGGGTCATCTTAATGCAATGTTTATCGGCGTGACAGTCACAAGACAGTCATGACTTGGATGCAGACATCTGAATCAATTATGTGCAAGAATATGCTAACTAACTTAGCTTGAATTGACGAACGAACAACCAGGTAGTAGTGCAAAGCTATGTCTAAATGCCTATTTTCATTTATAGTCATGAGCGCTAGTCCTTGAACGAAACAAAGCGATTCCAAGTATAAGCAGATATGAAATTCCTGCGAAAAACTGTAGTTGCAACCGGGCTCAACAATACCAGGAACACGAGAATGAAAGACACTTTCATACGCGATTCATCATTTTTCGAATAGAGATATCACAACTGCAGCTGATTGGGTGCTGATCAGGTTACCAAAGGAGACTATCAAAACGATTAAAGCGAGGTTCATGCGACAGGCGGTAAAAAAGAGCACAGCAGTTCCAAGCGGCGAAGTATACTAAATATTTGGAATTCTTTCTTTTTGGAATCCCATCTATGGAGTTCTGTTGCTTGTCGGAAGATCAGCGGGATTGGTGAAACATCCTGGAGCCATTCGAAATGAGTGAGGGCAATTAAAGTGAATCAATGAATGAAATCAGAGGCTTAGAAGTCAATGAGGAAGCCGATTTCTCACCAATTTATCGCAATTTCGTAAGTGATTTAGCCTTGCTGGGTGGCGGGGTCACTAAATACCACCAGCTTATGATATTTTAAAAACTACAAACTTCTCCACACTGCTTAACTACAACAGAAAAACAGCGACGTTTAGTACAGCACATGAGTATGAACATCTATGGGATGGGTGCGGCTAACATTGACAACGTAATTATCGAAATTTTGAAGTAAAACTCGCTGTAAAATTAGAATCAAGTTTCATTAAACTACATGTCCATTCTTATTGGGGATTCAGGGCGCCAAAAAACAAAATTCTATTATTCTATGGCTTTCAACTTCGGTACTTTACTTTGTTTCTACTGTGTCCCGCTGTACAAATGAAACGCACGAGAGGCCAGCAAAACACCAGCACACAGTTACAAATGTTTCAACCGGAAATAGTTACTTGGACTTGAGAACATCTGGATATTAATCACTGGTATCAAATTTTCAGTCTGTAACCATTCTTCCCTTTCTCCTAATTCCCGAAATGGATATTGAGAGAGCGACTCGTTCGACCAGTTTTCCCCATCAGGCCAAAATTACGAGTCCAGCGTGAATCGAAGCAGAAGATACGCATAATAAAAATCACATTCTAAGGTACGCGTACGAAATATGAAGACCAGAGTAAGAGATGGATATCAATGCCCAGGTGAAATCTGTAGAACATGAGTAATCTTTTCAACTTCAACCAGTGCAAACGTGAGATGAAAAACTAACACAACATTGCGAACCCAGCCCTGCTTACTTGTTGATCTGTTTGCAGCCGCTGAGTGCCATCGCCTTTACCGCAGGCCAATAGCACAGCAGTTTCTCTAGTGCCTTCTTAGCGAACTTTGGTGGGTCTAAATCATGTTCTGGCATGTTTCCGCCTACAAACAAAACAGGAAAACTTGACATGCGTAGCAATTGAAACGAGCCGCTGGCTTCGTCATTACCGCTCGCCGCTTTCTGTGTCACCTTCGCACGCGACTGTCTATATTGACGTTGTTCAGAGGCCTGTCGTCCGACGGTTTTTGCCAGAAACAACAAAGCGTGCTCTCCCCTAAAGTAGCCACGTGAACAGATCACAGTTTATCAGTGAGCATCTGCAGCAAGTACTTTTCGTTTGCCTTCATCACCAAGTCAGTTTCCATGGTTACCCTGTTAAACAGATCAAACCTAGCCGCCTGATTGCCGGCGATCAACGCCTTACACCTGCACTTCTCCCAGCAATCGCAATAAGCGGTCGGTGAGGTTTTCTTCAGCTTACAGTCGTGATTTCGATGACAGATATTTGCGCATTCCGTGCAACAACACAGTGAGCCGACCAAGCCGCACGTGCGGCACTCGAAAATATCCTAAAATATCTCGTTGCAACAATCTTTACAGTCATGAATCGAAAGAGTCAGAGAGACGGAAATGCGCGAAGTGGAAAATGTGCTTTAACGTAGTTTTCCAGGGGTCCGCCGATCATCAGTTCATCAACTTGTTAACAACGCTGGTCAACTGCTAATTTAGCACAGCCTGCTATGTCATTTATCTTAGTAATGCGAAACTATTCTGCTGCATGTTGCATAAAAGAGATCCAAAAAAGGCGTGATTAAGATGAGTTTGAGAAACGCTGGAAAAGACCTTTCCGTCCTCGTATTCGTAGCTAACAGGTTTAAATACAAACTGTTAATGAACAGATTTTGGATTCCCTGCACTGTCGCTTATTTCTCACGCTTTCCATGTGGACAAACGAGCAATATTACACAAACGAAAGGAAACTAAATATAAGCTCAGCTCCCTCTACTTTAAATTAAGTTTAAATCCACTGTTTACAACATACAGTGATTCTTAATGAAATGAGAGCATACGCATGAAGCAGCATCGCTGTACGTCACGCAAGCGTCGCCATAATAATAGCGCGAAAACACTATGCTGTCATCATTATCCGAATCCCGCAATCTGTTTCTCAATTGGGTGCACCAGTGAATAGCAGGGCGCATCAGATATCACAAATCTTAAGCATCCTGCGGTTTTGCCGAACGATTAAAGATGGTGCTAACGAAAATACAGTTGGATAAATTGCCTGCTTATGAGTTAGCAGGTAAAATAAATTTACCTCCGACTGGATTCGCACTAGGCATTTCTGAAGTGCATAACAAAACTACTTATCCGCTGCTGCATCACTACCTCCGCAAAAGATATTGCTGCCACAAACAACGAACACCCTTCTGACGCATGGTTCAGCACCCAGATTGTACAATACAGTACTACAATAGTTCATTAACTACCGGATCTAGCTATGCATTTGTTTCGTGGTTGTTACTGTTGTCGGTATGAAAGTGCGCTAGTTTTTGAAAGTTTTTTTCTGCGTTTGGCATTTTAGTGATCTATCCATGAACACAAGACAGTCAACGTGTCACGTATTAAGAAGTTAACTATTTAGGAAACAAATTTCTGCAATTTGCTTTGTAGTCGTTTCACCACGAGATCTGCCCAATCGATGTCGACAAAATCTGCGCTTACTCTGTCTCTACTATAGCCACTGTCTTCGATTAATTTTGTGAATTTTCGGTTAGAGGTGTCGAAAAGTGAATGTTCCGATGATTCTTTCTATGCAACAATTGTCAATCGATCGAATAACTCAATCAGAAGAGTACTCGACTGAAATCAGAAATGAGTTTTAATCGCTGCTGAATGCCTATTTGCCTTTTCTTTATTTAGTAGTTATATCAGCACCGTTACGTACGGGATGAAAACCGGAAATTATGCACCATGTGTGCCGTGTAACAGCACAAGCGCCTTCGTAACATTACTCTCTGGGCTGACGGCAGAGAAACGTAGATCGAGGTTTAAACAAAGCCTCAACGAAAAATGTGTCATAAATAGCAACCCTCATGCAAGTTTAGCGCTGACCGACATCCGAACAACCATAAGATTCGTCATTTTTTCATCAATTTACTAACAGCCTCCCCGTACCGTCTACTTATCGGTCATCCTACCGTAAGCTTTAATCTCAGGTTCAGACTTCGCATACGTAAAACGTTGCAAGCGAGAGAAAAACTCTCTCCGTTTACGGCATGTACCTGATTGATATGTTCATCACCAGTCCACGTGAAGCTGCAGGTGTCGTTGTAGCAGAGCAGAAACAGTGGCGAATTATCCAGATTGGAGTCCGGCGGGAAGATTGCCATTGTTGCCTTTTCGGCGAACTGCTGCGAGAACTTGGCCATTCGTTGAATCGTCTCCCATAGCAGAATAGCAACGTGGTACACCCGACAGCTGATGGCGTACATAAACGGAGTCATGCCGTTCTGGTCCCTGCAGAAATCGCGTGCATTTGTTAAGAAAACGTCAACGTATCAAAGTGAAGAAAAACAATCAGATGAAAGTTGGGCACGGGTTCAGCCAAATGGTGTAACCTGGTATTTAAGCCTTTTAATTTTTTCTAGTCAGTGGCTTGCCGTTATCCTTCGCTACAAATTTTTTTTTCAAACATACTATAACCTAAGCCACGCATCACACAGAACCATAAGTTTACCCCGCGCCCTCGAAACAGCCCAGCAAAGACAAACATGGAAGGAAGACGTGCTTGTTAGGGTTCAGCATGTTATGGCGACCACTGCTCTGACAGTGCTGCCTCTGGGATATCAATCAGTTATTATCATTCAAGACAGATGCACGTGATTTTAGCCACCTCCAATTTTACAGAAGCAGAATACTGTCATTCTATACTGAATGAGTAACTTCCGCGAACGGACAGAACTAAACGTCACAAAAGTGGCAAGAAATATATAAAATCGGCAATTTGCCTAGGACTGAGCAACTGTGATGTGCACATCTTCCGAACGTAGATGACCGTGCCGCGTATTCCACCGTATGTGGCTGTGACGAAGTGGAAAATCAAAAAACAGAATGCACAGATGGCCAACGCTCACAGAAAAAAACACGTCTTCATTCACTGTAAAAGTACGTGAGTTTGACCAAAATTTCCTACGCGTAATTTCAAAATTTATAACTCGAAACACGTTACAGAATAACTTACTTCGTAACCAGTAGCTCCTGAACGTAACTACTCAAGACCGATTTTTCGCACAGGTATCTAAGAAGCCGAATTGAATTCTCCTGGCGTTCTTTGGTTTCAGCAACAGCGCACGGCATCGGGGGAAATGGAGGCGGAAGCGGAATGGACGAAACGTCAACGGACATGTCTACTGAAGGTTCACAGTTAGCATTAGTTGAGTTCACGTAGCCTGTTACCAGCGTCGTTTGATGATGAAGGCGCAGTCTCGGATGCACTGGCCATTGGCCAGTCAGCAGGAGGCAGCGGCAGCTCGAATCGGGACTGATAGGTAGAACTCTGGCTGCCACTGACGCTATCGCTCCATCGCAGAGGGTGACCGACAAACTGCATAATTTCGCTTACACTAAAATGACTCATAAAGCTACTGCAGCAACAAAACATCAACACTTCTAACAAAGGATCCCATGTGTCGTAGTCGGCTTATGGTTGGTCGCCATATTTGTGGGTTATGATCACTGTACCGCTTCAAGGCTACTTTTAGTAGCGTTCCTCGAGGAAAACGATCGGAAACAAAGGCGCGCTTTTGTAAAGGTCTACCGCATCAAAATTCACTTTTCAGTACGACTCTTATCATGAAGAAAGTATGAAAAACCTCATGATGATTATCTACTGAAAAGGATGACACTAAGGGCTGACACAGAACTTTAAAAAAAATTGCACCGGTTAGGACGTTTATCTCCCGTACGCTCATGCAATGGTAATGCTTATAACCTTTTTAACAGAGTTTATGGAGTCGAGCTAACAAGGCATATAATGTCATGAGTCAGGCCACTGTTTCGAAAGCCATATGTATAGGCGTCTCTGGTCTTAATGGAGTAAACTCTGTGACTTTCGACAGACACCTAGAAATCCAACTTAGTAGAAAAGTAGACGTTATGGATACAGACAAATCCATCGGCAATGGGATGATATTCAACATTCAGTGATACAGTGAAAACAAATTACGATGAATGATTTCGCAATTTCAAGAAATGGCTGCCAGAGCTGGGGCTTAACGGTATATGCCAGAGACAGCTAAATGTCAATCGAATATGATCCATTCACCGTGCTTTATCGTTCACGCGGTATAAATCCTGTTCCTGAACTACCAGCTGAGAAAAATATGACAGATACAAAGACGTTCATCAAGGACGACTGTGCATTTATATGAAACAGGAAAGGGGGAAGAATAAAAACCACTCTTTCCTCACCTCATGCCTAAGTTGTTCGACAGAAGACTGGCAGTAAGCCTGCGCAAGCGCCTAAACGTAATAAAGCATCAAATAAAAATGAAACGATCTAAGCAAAACGTAACGAAACCATTTTATTTTATTATTGTCAATGATTGGGTCTCACGTCGGCAATGGCTAGCAGATGATCCGCAAAGACGCTTCCTAGTCTGTCATTAAAAACAGAACAGACACAAAAAATGAACGTTTGAACAAGTGTGTGCAGCAGTGGTTGGTTTTCAAAGCGTATGCAGCTAACCTTTTCAACAAAATTCGTATGCAAATGTCAGAGCAACTCAGTCGGTACAGCATCAGACTCTAAGTCGAAAGATCCTGGTTTCACTCGTATTTCAGTTTTCTGAGGTAGATAATGAGCATTAAACAACGGGGAGAAAACAGGAGACAGCATGTTGCAATGATCATGTTTCAGAAGCTGTAATGAGAACAGAAGAAAAAATGACACTCCTGGTTGATGGCATCGTAACGGATAAGCTCCATGAAAATGAATGCTACAAATATCATTTATCATGGAAATGGGTCGCAGTCTAAACGGTCACACTTTCTTTTACTGTTAAAAATGCAATTATCTACGCAAGTTTTTTTGCCACAACCCTCAGAGGCAGGGATCGGCAAAATAATTATTCAAACTTATCTAATTCGGCGACTCAGCTCTAAGTGAAATAAATAACAATTTGCACGCGCGCACCATAAATTTCCCTATCACATATACGCAAAATTATTAGTTAGTTGCTCCTTAACCTTCGCTTCACTGTGTGGTCCATTTCTTGGGATTCAATATTTTAAAGATATAGGCGTCCTTACATACTGAAATGCGAAAACTTTTGCAATTAAAAACAAAAATCATGTGAAGATACAGTACAGTTACTTACTTATAGTTACAATACATAGTACAGTTATTTGCACATTCCAGTACAAATATTACTTAAATGTTGGCTGTTCTGATCAAATATTTAAGCTATTTTCTTTAACAGTATTATGTTACTGGTCCAGTCCGCGATGTCCGTTGCAATGTCAACTTTTCTGCACTTCTGTCATAAGTCGATGTGCATAAGAAACAGATCTCTTGCGATAACAGATCTGTTGCTACTACTTTATCCATCCATGTTGCATACTGACCTCTTTGTCTGTGTCGGTCGTGCTTCGATTCCTAGGTGATAAGCTGGCTAGAGTAAAGGGCTTACACGCAACCAGTTTGTATTCAAGGCAAAAGTCCGTTCTCCAATCTCTAGATGAGCTAGGATACAAGAATCAAGCAATGAGGCTATGCCCTTATTTCTTCCATAATCCTGCCATTTAGTCAGCATTGTGTCGATGCTATTGTATGCTCTATGTCGTCGTCTTTGATGAAAATGATGGAACCGACTCATTTACACTGATCGATTTTCTCTAGGATTCACTGTGCAGTTACAAAAATGCTGTTTCGAATGATTCCTTCGTTTGATTGATTTCCTGAGTTTCGATTCTGAGATTTGAAGTTTGATTTCCTAGAGTTACGAAAGTATGCTGCTTTCGTAGGCAAAGCATTAATCATCCAGTTCTGCGACGAAGAATATGATTTCTGAGCGGACTGGATGAGTCGCGAAAGTTGCTTCAACAAAGTCTGCCTCGCAACTGGAAACCTCCAACAACAGACAACAGTGACAACTCTTTCCAACAGCTACCTTACCGTGAAGGTAAGTAAACGACCGAAACATCGATACCGATTCATTACTGGATACACCAATATTGTGTTGCTGTATGACTGTACTGTATTTTAGTGTTTTTCAGCATGACTACCTCGCAAATACTCAACCGACAAATGCACTATATCATGCATATAATATTATTACTGTGCAAACTGATTCGTGTCGCGAAAATTTGATCTGTGACTACACATTGGAAACTTCTGTTGTACAGGGTAAAAAATAAACGTAAAGATAAGATGAGGTAATGAGTGTTTCTGCCATTGCCTGCGCTAGTAGATCAGTGTTAATCCTGCATCAGGATTAATGGAAGGTTTTCGAAAGGCTTGTTTCGATGGCTGAGCAAGGTGACAGAAGTCAAGGAGCTGCTGAACTTGGCTGGCAAAGTACATGCGTAATGTAGTGCCATATTACAGGGCGTTGCTCGCAATGCTGAGAACTGTAACTGCCAAGTTTTTTCTTACTACTATTTCACATACTTCAGTATAAGCATGCAATCTTGGTGCAGTAACTAAATCAGTGCTGAAACGGCGCTTACTAATTCAGATAATTACAGTTTCTGTATTACATACCGTCGAATACCGACAGTCAGTCGAAAAATTCGTTCCAAACT